TGTACAAAGCGTGGGCCCGCGGACTCAAGCTTGAGGTCTAACTTGGGGTTGGCTGGGCCTAAACCGCGGTTTATGCTGCGCAAGGCTTGAGCTCTGGCTTCGTCTAGGTCGGGGCCCCACACATGACCCGCCTCTTTATGGTGCTGTTTTGCTACCGAGATGTACTGGGAAGCTGAACGGTAGCCCCCTGCCTTCAGTAGGGCACCGACCGCGAACAGGGATTGCCGGGTGATGGGTACCGCAGGGTGTCCTCTGCTCTCTGACATGCGGGACCATGTCGCCCATCTGCTTTCTCGAGGTGCCTGAGAGGTAGCGGCCCAACCTCTCAAGAAGATCCTGTCGGCTTCTTCTAAATCTTACGGGGGGTTTGCGGAAGCACCTGCCGGTGCTGGCTCCAATCCGAGCCACTGAAGCGACCCACGCGTCCTATAGGACGCACTTGCGGTATGTCCTGACGGGATCGCTTGCTGGGACGGGCTGTTGGGGCTAGGAGCTCGTCTAACAGGGTGTCGCCGAAGATACCTCTGAGTACTGACCTGGGGCAACTCTCCAAGTCATACGCCGACTTAACGCCAGCTTGCTGTAGCTGGGGCAGGAAACGCACGAGGTCTTTGCTGCGTAGCACCTCGGCGAGGCTGGCGAACGTGTGTCGCTCTGACTGGACTGCGTCGGCCCACATTGCTGTTTGCTCTACACTGAAAGCTCTCTACTCTGCTCGAGAGGATTGCTCGCGGGGTTGTTTTCAACACCGGGCGGCGGCTGCTGTCGCAGTCCAACTGCTTGGTGTCAGCCGAACTGGGGCTCGGGTACAGGACTGGGAGGTTACCGTTCCTAACAAGCACAGACACACACACACACACACCTCACAACACTTCCTGTCCCACACTTTCCCACGCTACAAGGATCTAGCAGCAGAGGGTGCGGGACCACACAGGGAGGACACTGCGAACTGCTGCACTCTACCTGCACTGCTGAAACAAAACTGACGAGTCACTCTACCCTGCACTTGCTGACTGGCATCACTCGCTGTCCTGTTGTTTTACGACCTTGGCATATCAGCGAAAGTGAGGGAGCTTACGCCCCGGCGTCGCCGACGAGCTCTTCTAACGAGCCCAAGTCACAAAACTAACTGGAGGCTGCACCTAACTGGTTCCTCTCTCCTCGGCATCGGTGCAAGGCGGGCATCTGTGGCGCGCACTCTGCGAAAGCCCCTGAGGTTGTGGCGCGAACACATCCTCGTGAAGCACCTGGGACAGCGAACTCNNGTCCGGTGGCGTGGTGCTAAAAGGAAACCCGTCTTCGGCCACCAGAGGCGCCCAAGGCGGAATCACTGCCTCTGTGCGAACGGGCACGGCCGACCCTCGTGGATCACCTGTCCAGCCGCGCCACTCGGAGGACTGACTGGATGCCTTGGCGCCAGCGGGGTCCTTGGCTTTAGCCGCTGACGCGCTTTTTGCTGCCGGGGCATCGGTTGTCCTTGTAGTCGGCGGTGTCGGAACCTGCTGAGGTGTGGGGCTCTGCACGGGGCCCTTGCCTTTGCCTTTGCTCTTCACCAGGGAGCGCGGAGCCGCTAACTGGCTCGGCTTGGCCCCGAACACTGCTCCAGGACCGTCTGACGGGCAAGCTGGGCGACCTCCAAAGATGCCTCCTGTATCGGCTGCGCAGGCAGCACCATCATCGCGGTTATCGGCCGGGTTGAACTGGGCATAGTCCAGCTCTGACGGGAGCTCGTCCACGAACTCAAGGGGATCAGAGCGACGCTGGCTCCCCGAGTGCGCCTCTGCCGGCGCTGGTTCCTCATTGCTAACTGGTGCCTGGTCTCCATCGTCCACTGGCTCTCCCCAAGTATGTGCTGCCTGGACCGGCACATGCTCAGCTGACCCTGCGGCGTCTGACGGGGGACCTGGCACGTCAGGCAAGTTGCCGAAGACGGCTCCAACCAGCAGCTCAGCATCGAACGAGGCCTGGGTCCCATGCTGCTTGTAGGCCTCGAGCCCTTCGGCCACACTCTGTGCCAACAGTGCTGACAGGCGGGCTCGGTGAGCCACTCGGAACTCTTCAAGCGAGTTCATCACGTCGTCCTCTGAGGCCTCGCACAGGACCTTGATTGCCATCATCACAGCTGGAACGGCACGACGTTCCTCTGCCATGGCGGCTCAGGCAATGCTAACAGGTCCTGCTAAAAAAGAGGAAAGCTCGAGAGGCACAGCTCTGCTGACAGGTTCAGCTGTGCTCGCTCTACTTGTCACAAGGTGCACACGTGCACTAACCCTCAAGGCCCGGTACGAGAATCCCCAAAATCTCCTCCGCCCGCCGGTCGCCACCTCTTGCAAGGCTCGTGGCAATCGCAGCCGTAGTGCAGGAGCCAATAGAAGCCACATCTAAGAATCCAATAGCCCAGCTCACACCGATGGCGAGGATCAGCTCGAGCATCTTACTGTCACAACACTCCCGATCTCGCTAGCTCCCAACTGCTCGCAGTCTCCCTAAGACCCGAGGGCCTTGGGGCTCATAAAGCCTTGGCACCAACTATTTGCTCAGCCACCTAATAGACGTCATCGACGCTCCAGCAGGTGCTTGTAGCCTTCATCCAGCAGTAGCCGCTTCTTCGTTGCAACAGCTTCCGGAATCCACTAGCTGAAGCTTGTTCAGGAACCACCGTGGGCTCCGCGATGGGATCCTCGTTACCTGGTTCAGCCGTCGCCCCCATTGCGGCAAAGTCCTGTTACTTTGCCCAACCCACTTCAATTTTGGCCCCAAAAGCTGTGGGGCCTGGCCTGTCAACACAATGACGACGAGACAGCACAAGTTTCTCTGGCCATGCGTGTTGCCCAAGCAAAACGCTCCGACAGCAAGTTCTCAAATTTAGCGAAATTTAACGGAAGACGCCTTCGACGCTATTTTCGGAAACACATTAGACAGTAGATGTCTCTAGCGACGGATACACGCGCTAGCACACCATGTCTCACCTCATTGCCACCCAGATGCACAATTCGATCACCTTTCTTGAAGGATTTTGCTACCTGAGCCACATCTTGCTGGCCGTATAATCATCTGCTAAAATGGAAGCCCGCTGAGGGAACTTCTGCGCCAGCCGCAAGCTCCTTGAGTTTGTCCTCGCTGGCGGCAAGCAGCGCTCCTTAGCTATCTTAGCTCGAGTCAAAGCACACCACCACTTGCTGTGTGATTGCTCGGCATGTTGTCCAAGTCCGAACCTGCGGTGGCGTCTTTGGATGGCTCCGCCAAGTCTGGCTCTTGCTTGCTGCTTGCGTCAAGGTATCGAAGGTTAGCGTTCTCGCTGATTGCCTGCGCATTCGGACTGGACTTTCAGTGCTCGACCGTGTGAGACGCGACTTGGCCCATTCAGCCTTGCAAACGAAGAGTAGATCATCTGGAGGTAGTTTGGGAATGTCGCTTATCTCAGCTTGTCCGGTCTCCTCAACCACAGAGATGGGAGCAACAGGCAGGCGTCTCATAGCCCAATGTAAGATCTTTGACATTGACGACGCAAGCCCTGTGCGGGCAGCAGAATACCCACCGAAGCCACTCTACAACAAATGTAGTCCTGGGGCGAGTTGTAGATGGCTGGTCTTTTCGGAAATTGCAACCTTGGCATGAATGTGGAGCCCGAGTGAGCCGAGAAAAGCAACAAGCCCAGGGGCCATCGTCTCAGGCCAAGAGTTTCAAATCGATCTCTTGACAATGAGAGCGTAACCTCAGAGATCATTGACAGCTGACAGTGCAGCCGGGCCGTGAAGAACGCAAATTTGGCCCATGTCTGCAGCCTTGCGGCAAGGTTGCTTTTGCGGCTCGCGACAATGGTGGCGACCTTCGTGGCAGGCATTGACATCTCCTATTTCGCAGTCCTGTTGCCGGTCCTAGCTCCCCCTGAAAGTGGCGGAAAGTCGGACGGGATGACAGACATCCTTGAAACCGTACTCTGACCTGCTTGTGCCCCAGGTCGTGCTCTCCAGTGTCGAATTTTCACATCTAGTCACGAAGTCCAGACATGCCCCCGCTCTGCGGTCTGGCATTGTCTTGGCAAAGTCTCTTGGACTCCTGGATGCTCTGCCTTGTGATGTCACCACGAATCACATCCCTGCTGCCCGCCTTTGCAATCCTTTGGACACTAGGTACCGTGGGGCAGACCTACCAGATCAGATGCATTTTGGATGCTGAAATCGACTGAGATGCGGGCATTGGCACCTTGTGCTGCGACATAATGAGAATGAGCAAGCAGCTTGCAGCAACTAGACACAGAATACATATGACTGCACGTGCACTGGTAGACACAGACTTTCTGTCAAGATTCGTTCGGTAATCAGCGTGTGGCCGCCGAAGTAATCACCGGCAACAAGCGTGGCACGCACAACCTCCGGAGCTCCAGGCTTTTGACCTCAGGCTTGCGCGCCAAGAGAATCAGGATAGTTCTCCCCAAATTAGGGTCCCTTTTCGGATCCGTTTTACAAGGGTGCCGTCGTATTTCGGCGACCTCAAAAGGACCCTGCTATAGAGAATTACCCGTATACTGCGGGCATGCTTGGAAAGGCTGAGCCAGCAGCAGGTGACAACTTCAGCTTCTCCGCTTTCTATCAAGAACAATGCTCTGCCTGGGCACTCTACGGAGAGCTTCAAATCGGCTTGCAGGACACAGTTACACAGCCCACGCTCTCCACAAAAGCCGAGTTGAATGTCTAAAGAAACGACCAACAACACAGCACCAAAAAGAAAGCCCAAATGCCAACAACACACGTCACTGCCGCCGAGACATTGTATGTTTGTGCATACCCGAACCAGTCGCCTCATCGTCCTCTTGAATCCTCTTGACATACATAGGGAGTTTGAAAGGTTCCCGTTGACTCGACTTGGCTCACGCATGCTCACACTGTACTCTGACCGTGACTGGATCGAGAGTCACAAGTCGAACACGACATCCATTGATGGATTTTAAACATCCAGAAGAAAGCCGCACAACGGCTACGGCAGTCACACCAAGGCGTAAGCAACGATTATTGCTGCGCAAGTGCAAAAGGTGGCAACTGCGAGCTCTCTCTGTCTTTGTCTTTGCTTTGCTTTGCTCAGGGTTAGAGCCAGGCATCCCTGGCCCGCGCCGAGGCGCTTCCCTATCCACCATATTGGTAGTAGGGCTCGACTCTACGTTGGAGCAGCTGGTTCACTGCTACGATAGGTTTGAGTGCCTCCCTCTCTCTCTCTCTCTCTCGATATGCCGCTACGTGACACAGAACGAAGCTTCTGCGTTCTGCGCCCCGTGTACTACATGGAACATTGCACGTCATTGCACATGTAATAGATTATGTTATTCCGAATATTCCTATCTAAAGCAGCACGGATCCCACATCGCAGATGTTAACTGTTAACTCTTCTGAAACCATCTGCATGCGGCCGTTGCGTCATCTATCGTCCTCTATACAAGAAAGACTTGCCTCATCGGATCTGCTTGCGACAATCTCAGAATGCGCCCCCAGCAAGGTGACACTTCTCAGATTGCGGCGTGTGTGTTATGTTTACGAGCAACCCAGCAATTTTTGCCGGATGTCCAGGCCAGAGGTCTCAGGCTCAGGATCCCGAGAAGACATTGACATTGCAAGCCTAGCTGGCATACTGGATGGTACTGTGCAGATTAGGTAAGTAGCCTTGCCTCGACAACCCACTGCTTTCCCACCGCCGTTTCGCTGCATGTAGAGAGATGCTGGGATGATCTTCTGGCGGTGGGCTCCCGAACATCGCATGCTGGGTCTCCCTATGTGTGGTGACTCCACGGAATGTGTGGTGACTCCAAGGGTTCATTGCGTTCGTCAACGAACCGTTGCATACAGTCAGATGATTTCCGATGTCAATGCATGACACGGACCCGCTGCAGACAAGTGACCCATCTCGCCCTGTCCTTGGATATACAGGAGCACTACTGTAAGACCTTCTCGGGTCATGTTTGACCGGCATCATCTGCCGTTTTTCGGCCGGGTGACTTACCAAGATTTGACCGGGCTGCCACACCCTGAATGTTTTTGCGCTATGCACAAATAACATCCACAAAGCAATTCTCTCGCGCTCGCATCTACAGGGCATGAGAGTGTGCCAACACGATCCGCCTCCGGGTGAGTTGCTGAGCCACTTTGGGTAGTTCGGCTTTCGGCAACCTTGGTTCTTCATCGGCCGCACCATGCAGTTATCTCAGAAGATGAAAGAAACCCAGCATATCATGATTGATGCACACACAGACCTACCAACTGGTGGTAGCAAGGTGCTGCTTCTTCAGAAGTGGCACGGAAAGGAGGAAGTCGACGGTTCGTTCAAAAGCCTCTCTTTCCTGTTCGGCGTTCTCAGGTCGAAAAGACCGTGAATGAGACAATGCAGTGCTCAAGACCTCTGGAATCCTGTCCTCACCATAATTCCCAGGTGCTTGGAAAGCACCCAAGACTCGCACCAGCCTGACGCGGAGGATGCCAAGGTTCCCCGAACTATTCCCTTTCCAAACTCTGGCTGCACCTTTGCTGCAACCCTTCGAAGCAACCGCACGACATGGGCCACGAAAGCCAGCGAATACTGCTCGGGACTAGACCGGCTGGGAATCGCTACAATCTTACAGCCTGTTTCAGCGTCCATGTGAGTCATGGTCTAGTACAGCGTGTGGGCTGGCAAAGAGTGCACTGAGCTGCAGGCTGCAGTTAGCATGAAGCCAGAGTGTCAATGGAGTCGTCTGCGGCTCATAGGGAAGTTCAAACAACAGCTGTTGACAGGAATCCGGCACAAGCGAGATGTTGTGCATGCGGCGTTTATGACATGTGCGACGAACAAACATGGTCTGCCCAAGCGAAACAGACTGGAGCGCACCTGCACTTTTCGATTCTGTCGGGCAGTCTCTAGAAGTGGCTTCGCAATTCACTGACATGACTATGCGCAGCACGAAGAGCGCTGACTGTGCAAGTGATCTGCAACTTCATGCTCGTTGGCGAGCACAACAAGCTGACTATAGCTGACCGTGATTACTGTTGCCAGTTTTTGGCGCAAGGGGTCCTCGGCTCAATCTCTCTACGCAGGCTGACACTTGACGTATGCCTGGCGCGTGACACAAACCTCCCGTTGCACGGTCTGTTGAATTCCAACGCTTTTCACGCGTCATTCCATCCGACCATGCCCTTTCTTCCTGGCAAATCCCGAGCGAACAGCAAACACTGTCTCAACTGTCCCGCCATCCTCTTGCGATCCACGTACACAAAAACTTTGGCCAGGAGGGCCCTTTCGACTTCGGAGCCTTGCTGACTGAATGATTCGAGCTGGTGACGGGTTCTGCAACGTCCTGCCGACAAAAGCGCACAATGCTCGCAAAAGCGCACAATGCTCGCATCAACCACATATGCGGCTGTTTGAAAGTTGGCCTCGATGCGCATGGCATTTCACAGCTATCATGGCGCATGCCAACAGAACATTGCCGAAGTACGTAAGAACCATTTAAGACTGGGATTCATCCATGCTCAAATCCAGTTCGGTCTGACTCAAAGAACCGTGAGACGGGCCAGAATGCATGAACCAAAAATTACAACACATAAACTGATTCGAAACACAAGCAACTAGAGAAACAGTACATCTACCAAAATAATGTATAAGCCGAAATGCGACAAAGTACTGGCACATCCTTCACCACCACCACCACCTCGCAGACTCAAAGTATCGCCACTGCCACCGCCAACACAACTATCACCACATCTGCCACCACTGCAAGAAAAACAACATCAACCACAAACAAGCAAGGCGCTGCCACCACGAACCCAAAGCCACAAACACTACCACCGCCACAGATAACGCAACGGCAAGAAGAACCGCAACGGAACAGCAAGAACAACATCAAAATGAAGCTAGCAGCGGGAGTCGCACTAGCAACAACTGTAAGAGCAACAGCAGCAGAAGCAGCAACACCACTACCAGCGGCAGCAGCAGCAGCAGCAGAAGCAACAACAACGACGACGACGACCACAACAACGACAACAACGAACAACTTTTGCAATTGAACGCTGCGCGAGCGTGCTTTGCGCGTGGCGGGCGTATTGCCAAACCTGCACTCATGTGAAACGGAGATAAGCTGATGCTGTAGTCTCGAAGAAAGACCAAAAGATTGATGCCTGAAAAAGCCTAGCGTCTAGAGCCATGTCACTGGTATGAGAAGTATGTATAACCTCCGCCACCCTCAGTGTGAGCAAACGCGTCCGATGCTCACGAACCAAACCCTGTTGGGTCGTACTCAGCGTTGGTAAACCGCAGCCGAGCCGGGGCCCAGAGTGCCAGTCTAGTCTAGTGGCGTCCCACACTTGGTCACTCACAGGCAGTGGCGATTCGCCGTAAGGTGGGCGGCAGAATATGAAGATTATTTATGGCAGGCTCGCGACCGCATCCTTTGGACAAAGCTGCTTTGCCGCCCGAGTTGTCACAGAAAGCAATCAGTACGGGCACAACACATCGCGGCAAGTAATCGCAGCCACAGTCTGGGCATTGATTCCCAAACCGCATATGTAAGCCTTTCGACTGGAAAAGAAGGACGAAACCTGACCCGGAACAGCCCCGAAGCCGAAGCGAACACCCTGAACAGTTCACGGCACGAACCCCCAGCCGTTGCGGCACTGGCAACCGGACCGTGAATACCAGGATGCAGGCCGCTCGTCTGACAATCCATATGAGGCATCACCCAGCCCAAAGAAAGCGTCAGCGTAAAGAACAGCTCGAGGCTCAGAACCGGTGTTGGATGGAAACCATATCGGGCGGCTATCACTCAGCAACCGAATCAGGAATTGCAAGGAGCACCGCAAGGAATTGTTCATGCGGATCGAAGCATCGCCCTGGTGATCATGGCCAATCGCAAAAATCCGTCTTAATGCAGAGGCCCCAAACCTGGCTAAACAGCGTGGCAACCCCAGGCTCCAAGCAGTTACTTTTCAAGGCACTGCGGATTGTTGCGATGACCTTGGCAACCCTGTTAGGGGCAGGAGCAAGTCGGATACCGTCGCGAAGAATCTGAAGCACGACGCATGGAAGCTTTTGTTTTCGCTCGGCAGGCTGCGCCTTGCTTGGTTTCAGACGCACCCCGAGAATCTCACACAACTAAACCCGATCTTGGAACTGAAATCAGCGTCGGGACCACCAGTCGTCACCAGGGTCATCGACGTAATGTGTGATGAGCAGCAGCAACAGTATGCCAGCCAGAAAACCCAGTGCATCAACGCATCGGTTAAAGCACCATTCCGAAAAACAGCGCCAAATGGAAGGACTGAATGACACCATGTCGGCTCCACGCTGCTCGCCATATTCTCCGACTGCAGTTTGACCAGTCTGTCCTTTAACTCGCCAAAAACACAGTCCAGCAAGGCCACATGGGACCAGTCAAGGACTTGATCACGAGCCCGAGCGTCACGCCACCTGGACTGCGCGCGATAGAGCGGCGCTACCACTGAGCAAGCAACATGCACTCTCAGAAACATCACGAAGGCCAGCTCGCTCCGCAATATGTTTACTGCATCTTCGTGGCTGAGTACCAGGCATTGGAGTTGGTACATAGTGGCGTAGATCATGCTGATTGCCATGGGGCTGCCTCCAGTGGCGAGAGGCATAATTACCCGCTGGAGCAAGGACGACCGCCATCTCCCTGACCCGAGCCATTGGACTCATGACGCTTCTGTCTGGGCTTGTTGTGGCCACCCAGCTTGCCCTCGATTTTTACCGCAGCATTGATCCAGTGTGCGCTGCCATTTACCCGACCCGTTATCATCGGGATGCTCACCGTTGACGGGCTCCGATGCACGAGGCGCCAAAGCAGTCGTGAAAAGCCCCTCTGGAATATGCTATAGCGCTAGCACCGCTGCTGAAACTCCTACTACTACTACTACT